GAACAGCTGCACCTGCGGGAGTCGGCCACCGTCACCTGCCTGGTGAAGGGCTACTCCCCCCCGGACGTCTTTGTGCAGTGGATGCAGAAGGGGCAGCCCGTGTCCTCGGACAAGTACGTGACCAGCGCCTCGATGCCCGAGCCCCACAGCCCGGGCCTCTACTTCGCCCACAGCTTCCTGACCGTGCCCGAGGAGGACTGGAGCGCGGGGGAGGCCTTCACCTGCGTCGTGGCCCACGAGGCCCTGCCCAACAGGGTCACCGAGAGGACCGTGGACAAGTCCACCGGTAAACCCACCCTGTACAACGTGTCCTTGGTCCTGTCCGACACGGCCAGCACCTGCTACTGACCTCGCTGCCCTGCCCGGCAGCCAGGCTCGGGGCGGCCAGTCGCTCTGTGTGTGCAAAGTAACCGTGCCAACGGGGCGAAAGTGCGTCCCGTGAACGTTAGAAATAAAAAGATCCCTTCGAAAGACGCTGGTCCTGAGTGCACGAGCCTCTCACCTGCCAGGGCCGGGGCTGCGCCGCGCCCACCGGCCCCACCGCACACCGCCCCCGCCACAGCTCACCCTGCTGGCCCGCTCGCGCCTCTGAGCAGCCTCGGGAAGCCCCCGCACGCCTGGCAGAGCCCAGGCACGCCGTTCCCGCTGCTGCTTCCAGAAGGGCAGCTGACGGCAGGGCCACACGGGCACAGGCAGCACGCATGCACACGGGTGGACACACACGCATATATACACAGACACACGGGTAGACACACACACATACATACATAGACACACATGCACATGGGTGGACACGCACACGCATATATACACAGACACACATGCACATGGGTGGACACACACACATATATACACGGACACATGGGTGGACACACATACATGGACACACATGCACATGGGTGGGCACAGGCATGCATACACACGGACACACATGCACATGGGTGGACACGCACAAGCATACACACGGACACACATGCACACGGGTGGACACACACGCATATACGGACACATTTGTGGACGCATACATACATGGACACACATGCACATGGGTGGACACGAGCACTGATACACACATGGACACATGTGCACACGGGTGGGCACACACGCGTACATACACGGACACACGGGTGGACACACATACATACATGGGCACACATGCACATGGGTGGACACACGTACATGCATGGACACACGTGCATCTACACATGTGCATGCGACAGACGCAGACATGAACATGCATGCAAACATGAACGCATGCACGCAGACACGCATGTGCGCGTGTGGACACATGCAGGCAGACCACACCCCTCTGTCACTCAGGGCCTCTGCCCGCCGCTCCTGCTCCCGTGTCCTGCTCCCTGCTCCGCGCTGGCTCCATGGCTTCCCGCCCCAGGCTCTGCTTGTCCTCCTGTCTCGGCTTGGAGGCGCTCCCACCGGCCGGCCCCGCCTGCACTCTGGCCAGGGCCTCCGTGCCCAGGCCCAGGGCAAGGGCCCAGAGGGCCTCACCAGGCCTGCCGGCTGCAGCTCCCCAGGGAGGCCCAGGCCTGTGCCCGGGGTGGGGCGGCCTCCTTGTCCAGGCCCTTGTGGGAGGCAGCAGCCACCCAGCACCACCTGTGAGCAGAGGCAGGGTCCCTGCCGTGTCCTCACGGGGAAGGCAGTGTCCGAGCATCAGCCCCAGCGGGCAGGGGGCCCCCGCTCCTGTCGCCAGGGGCCTAGGAGAGAAGGGTGAGCCAGGCCGCCCTGCAACCCCTGCTCCCAGCCCAGAGCAGGGGGCAGCTGCCCAGGGAAGGCCACGCCCCAGGCGGGGAAGGCAGGGCCCGAGCGAGGTCTCCACACCCAACAGACAGCACTCACCCCGCTGGGCCGTCCCTGGGACCCTCCCCACGCTCTTGGCCCTTTGGGGGCCTGAGCTCCAGATGCCCCCACGAGCCCATCTGTGCAGGACTGCAGACCCCCAAACGCCCTGTCCCACGGCGAAGCTCAGCTGTGGGTCTGCCTCAGTCCCAAGGGCCATCCCGAGACAGCCCCACCGGACTCGGCCCAAAGGGGAGGTGGAGGAAGTGAGGAGGGGGCGCCTCTGGGCCCAGGCACCCGCCTGTCCCCAAAACCACAGGGGTGGGAGTCCTCATTCCCTGCTTCAACTCAAGCGGCCCTGGCTGAGCTGCCCCCTCCGCCAGGAGAGCCCAGGACACGCTGGCTGCCACTCTTCTGGGGTCCCAGCCCCTGCTCCCCCCATGTGTCCGAGTGCTGCCTCTCTCGTGCTCGCTCTGCCACCCCAGGGCTCCGGGACAAGACTTCAGGGTCACAGCCCTGCTGAGCCTTGGCCCGAGCCCACCCCCTGCATCAGGCTATCGGGGACCCCACCCATGCTGGCCCCAGACTCTCACAGACCGAGTCCCAGAACTCATGCCCCCACAGGCAGACAGCAGCAGGAGCTCACCCACATCATGCACCCAGCACCCACACTCTGCACACAGCACCCACACCGTGCACATGGCACCCACACTCTGCACACGGCACCCACACTCTGCACACGATGCCCACACCATGCACACGGAATCCACACTCTGCACACGGCACCCAAACTCTGCACACAATGCCCACAGCATGCACACAGCACCCACACCCTGCACACAGCACCCACACTCTGCACACAGCACCCACACTCAGCATACTGCACCCACACCATGCACA